GGGGGGGCAGAGTCTGCATTTCGTGACGACTGTGACGGTGGGGGAAGGAGTGTTGCTTAGATTGTGATGTCACGCCATATTGTTTTTCCAATTTCAAACTTTAGAAATGCATCTTTTTGTCACTTAGTCCGTAAGGCAGCGTTTCACGGTCGCTATGCGTCCGTGAATCGCTGTCTACAGACAAATGACAAAAAATAATATTCGTTACCCGGCCGAAAAAAACGTTTCCAGCTCATATGATTGAAATTCTCCCCTTCGGCGCGTGTTGCAAACTCATATTCGTCAGAAATGTTTCTTTCGGCCTAGTGACGAAAAGTACTATTTTTCATCCGTCCCTTCCACGAAAAAGAAATCGGCCATCAACCTAGGAACAAAGCTAAAAATGTGAGGTTTATTATACATATCTCTGCAATTCGAAAGAGCAGTAGCGACATTGTTGTGTCATGGAAGTTATTCCAAATGTGCGTTCTATGCGAATTGCCGTCAACTGTCAAAGGGAACTTTGGCAGTCACATGTGATATTGAAGATGACGAAGATGAAAAATGGAGCGACGAAGCGTTCATTGATCAACAGCGTCTGTTCGTACCAGGGTTTTCAAATGATCGTTCATTCATTTTAATGAAAATTCGTTTGACTTGCCGATGAGACTAATTATTTGAAGAATTTTTTTTCTCTCAAATATCCAAACGATTCGCAAACAGGAATTATTATTTGAATGCTTTAATAATAAGTTAACATATTGACAAAGTAGCGAAGAAAGAACTGATTATTCACGTGATTTTTTTTGGCACAAAAAAAATAAATAAAAGATTGTTCTCTACATAAAGTAATATATAAGGGGGGGAGGGGGGTTCACGCTTGTGACGGGTGGGGGGGGGGGTCTAAAATCTCCGAAAAACCTGGGACATAATATTTGAATGCTCCCTTATAATAGAATTCCCCTCTCCCGCATCCCATCGCAACAATGGAATTAAGCGCCAGAACTGAGTTGATTAACTCCTGGCGCTACTGCGTGATCTACGGCGCAAGTATCAGTCAAGAATGGGGGCAGGCGTAGAATATCGGCTAACGGAAAAGGGTATGTCATACCGACCCATGCAAAAACGCACGGCTCTTTTCAAAATTGAATATTTCCGAAACTATGGCCGATAATACAATCGGACTAATACCATTGGGAAGGTGAATACTGTAGCTTCAATTATATATTTTATTTATAATTTTTCATTCATCAGAAAATGTGGGATGCGAAGAGTATTGAGCGTGTGGTAGACTTGGTATCAGAAAGGCCCCGTACGTGAGGGGTTAATTGGTCATCTACATTACATATTTGGAGATTATTGGGTCTCAATATTAATTATATCGAGTTCCTGAAGAAGCTAAAATAATCATTTAATCTCTAACACCCCTTGATTTTTTCTCCGAAAAAGAAAAATTTTAAGAAAAGGACTACTACTTCTCCGGGAATTGAACGAAGACCATTGGCAATTGGAAAAATTACACAGCTTTATTCTGAGGCATTCATCTATGATAAATTTGATAGATTTTTATCTCACCTGATTGTTCCATCCCCGCTGATAGGTCTCTTGATGCTCTTCACCTTGACGACATCCCTCTGAGACCTTCCCCCAGTTGAGCCACTCCCCTGTGATCCCCGTTTCGCAAATGGGTATCTCTTCACCCCGTTGTTAGGACTGATTGCTTTGTTTTTTTTTAAAACCCTCTCTTTCTCTTTTGGACGTTTCATCTCACTCTTCTGCTTTTTCTCGCCCCCCACCCGATAATTCTCGTAAACCGGAAAGGCGTCCCGAACTCTTCCAAATACATTGACATAAAGCGGCGCTACCATATCAGTCTCCACTATTTTCGTCGCCGTACCCCCACTCTTTTGCTGCACCTCGTCACTCTCCACTGATTTCTCAGTCTCATCGATCTTCTTGTCTTCCGCCCCATCCAGGGACTCTTTGTCACTAATAACATGAGATTTTCCACTTGAGATATTTTCCTCTACTCTCGCAATTGTGGACTCGTGGGTGGTGACTACAGTGGAGAGGACTTTGTTATCTTCAGAATCCCGCGAAACAAAATTGGCCAGATTTCTCCTAGAAATGATCTCGGAAACAGCTTTAGGGGATTTCAGATCACCTCTAGTTCTAAAATCAACTTTATCCACAGCCCCTCCTATCCCCGCATCTCCGAGGCAAATTGTTGTCGTGTGAATCTTCGGATTGAGGTCTGAATTGATCCAAACTTTTTTTTCCGTATCCCCAGAAATTCCCAGATCCCCATCTTTGTTTTTGAGTAGATTTGGAGAGAAAGTCTGGGTTTTTCGCCTGCGCCGGAATTTGTTGGTCGGCGGAGGCTTGCCATCCGTCTCAACGATGTTGACTTTTCCGGAGTCCGCTGCGAAGTGAATCTCTGTTTTGCAAAATCCCACTTTTTTTTTTGAGAGGCTGATAGCGGGGATCCCCGGAGTTCCGGAAGAGCCCAGAGTTACTATACTTGTTTTCGGGGGATTTATCAGGTTGACGACAGTCACTTGGGATCTTTGAGGCTTCGAGGGCGAACCCTGAGACCTCGGGAATTTCGGAGATAAATGTGAAGATCGCTGAGATTTGAGGGATGAATTTTTTATTGAAATTTCAGACTTCATCGGGTCTTTCAGGGTTATTGTTGACGATATGGGGATGTAGTGGTTCTCGACTGAATTTTCAGAGCTGAAGTGAGTCTCTAGTGATTTTTGGGAATTGATTGAGCTGTAATGATTTTCACATAATTTCGGAGAATTTTTTGGACATCGATTTTCTAGACTTTTTTTGGAATTTTCGAGGATATAGTGATTTTCTAGTAATTTTTTGGGACTCAGTGGAGATTTTTGGAGAGTCGATGCGGGAAGAGAAATTTTCGAACGATGCGTGGGGATCTGCAGGGATCTACGGAGCTTTGAAGCTCGGGTGAAACTTGGGGTTGGGGATTTTGGGGGATTTTCTAGAGGAAATAGTGATAAATCGTCCTCAGAAGTGCTGCGCTTCAAGAATGGGTATTTTTCGAGCTTATGGAGGAAAGACGGAGGCCCTTGATTGTCTGTGACTCTAGAGGATGACCAGTAAGATGCTCGGACCACCTGAACACGCCTGCCTGGCTCCTGACTCTGCAAAACTTCCACTTGACGACGAGCCTTTTGAATGACTGTACCGTCGACATTATTCCGTTGACGAGAATCCACCATCTAAAAATGTCGAGAATTTTTTTTATTGAATTTGCAGGTGGAATCAGTTGGCCGAGAAGGTTTAAAGAAATCACCAGCTTCAATCGTACTTTTCCATAGGAATGGGCAGAACCATTGTTGAAAGCTCGCCACTGACCAGTCTCGATCCTGGCTTGCTCTAGCATCCCCGTAATCTGATCTACCCCCGACCATTCCCTTATTTCTTCATTCTTGAAGGGTGTGTCGTGGTCCCCAAACCGCCCGGACGATGACACCACCACCTCCATCTTCATGTTTCCTCAATTTCCATAAACTTTTCTATAAAAATATAAATAGGGGAGGGTAGGGCAAAACGGACCAGGCGGGTAAAACGGACCACTGACAGAAAATTGGCAATTTTTTTTTCTTCCTTTCAAATCAGGAACACTGAATGTGTTGAATTAAAAGTGAGTTTCTTGGATCGTAACCGTCACAAGGGTTTTATAGACAAAAAGCGTCGTTGAATCGCAATTTGATCAAATTTGCTAATCACCTCAAACCACAAATGACTTTGAAAAACCAATAGTTCCCAGGAGTCTGTATGTCTAAAGACAAAACGGATATTTTTATATTTCTTTCTTGTTTAGACAAGCAGCGCAACAGCAGCCATTTAACGGATTACATATGACTGCTACTTGCTACCATTTTTTTTCTCCTATTTTCATTTTTACCCATTTCATTGGTAGTAAGCTTCCGAATGGTTCCCAATGCTTGTTTTCAAAAAATAAAATCATATATTCATACTATATGGCTTTCTCAGTTATCCTGATGTGAAAATAAAAGGACAAATATAGATGCGCAAATTTTTTTTTCTCAAGAATTTTGGGTGAATGGTTTCATCTCAAGAACTATCAAATACATCGACCTAAAATTTGATATAGGAATGTTCCTTGACAATCCTAACTAGAAGCCAACGTTTGAAAAGGTTTACCTGACTTTTACCCATGTCATAAAAAACATACAAAAACGACAATATCTCGAAAAATTTCAATGGGATGGTACCCATATTTTGTTGGATCTAGATACATGACATCAAAACGCACATTTTGACGAAAAAAATTGAAAGCGGACCAATAGTTTTTGAGATATTGAGCAAAAGGTTTTCACATACAAAGTTGAATATCTCCGAAACTATTGGTCCGATTTCCTTCATCCAGAATCTCAAACTTTGTTACCATAAGACCTAAAATCATACCAAGTTTCAACATTACAGACACTTGTCAATAAAAACATCGTTTCTTCACGTTTCATGACATTTCTAGGCATTTTCACCCAAAATTGAGAAATCGAAAAAAATCACGATTACAAAGCTTCCATTCGGAAGCAAAAACAAAAATTATCAATTTTCTGTCAGTACCCCGTTTTGCCCTAGCGCTCCGTTTGGCCCTGCGGTCCGTTTTACCCGCCTGGTCCGTTTTGCCCTACCCTCCCCTAACTTTATGAGTAATAGAGCTAGCGGAAAATGGCCAGAATTAAAATTTTTTTCTTATAAAGATGAATAATTTCGTGACTAAAACATGTTGCGATAAGTCAGTCAGATAATGAGTTACTCGCGTTTGAAGTGGAGAAATGTGTTTATTTCTTTGTTCTAATTCTGTTTTTGTTTGATATGTTTGTGAATAATGGAGATACAGGCAGAAATTGCAGACATAAATTGTTCGTTTCCTCGAGACAACTTTATCATTGAACATTTTTTGGTACCCTGACGAATCACTCGAGTTGTTCAAGCAGTCAAGTGCTAGTCAACCACGGTTCGATTGATCAACCAACGATCGACTAGCAATCGTTCAACAATTGACCATTGACCGTCGATTGACTAACCATCGATCAGCAATCGACCATCGATCGACTAACCCTCTACTACTGATTAACCTACAGTCGACCGACCATCAATCGAGTGAACAAGTCGACCTCCTGTTGAGCCATCATCGAGGACCCCGTGATCGATCTGTCAGGGTAGGTTCAGGTGGCCTAGTGGAAATCGGGTCGACAGATTCTGTCAAATGTTTATAGAAAAGATCAATAGAAAAGATCAAATTCGAAGTATTCTCAAAATATGGCATTGACTTATGTTAACCTAGCAGTCAAAAGTAGCAGAATCGAATTTTCAATATTGGATAATTTGCAGCTTATTATGAGCTAACTTTATATGTCTTCAAAAAATTTTTTGCTAATACCGTTTTTAAAAAAAACGTGTCTCTGCTAGCTTTTTTGTAAGTTAGCAGAAAAATTATTTAAAAAATCAATAGAATTTGATTTTCAATATCGGATAATTTAAAGCTAATTAACAGCTAATTTTCTACGTTTTCAAAAGAATTTCAGCTAATCCAGTTTTTGGAAAAACGGCGTCAATGCTAGCTTACCGCAAGTTAACAGAAAAAATGGTTAAAAAATGAACAAACTGTCGTTTTCACTACGGGATAATTTAGAGTTCATTAGAAGCTATTTTTTTACGTTTCAAAAAATTTTGAAAAAACCAATTTTTTTTCAAAACAAAATTTTTTCTGAATTTTTGTTTTTTTTCCCAAAACGACGCATTTACATACTTTTGACTAAAATGTAGAAATGAACTGAATCTCATTCATAAAAGTGGCAAAAAATCAGTTTTGACATTGGATAATTGAAAAATCATTAGCAGATAATTTGTTATAATTCCAAAAGTTTTCATCTTTATGCCGTTCGGAAAACAATAGCGTTGCGGCTTAATATGAGCTAATTTTATATGCACCTAAAAAATTTTCTGCTGTGACCGTTCAATATTTAATTAATATTATTTCCTAAAAGGGGGATTTAGGGCAATTAAATAATGAGGACAAATGAGGGATAAAATTAACTAAATATCTATATTTCTAGTAATTTACAGATTAGATCATCGTAAGACGTTTGAAATGCCTTTTACTTGGATCTAGGGTTATGGGTAAGGCCAGGCAACTTTTGTACACGTAAAAAGGGGAGTGACTCTAATGCAGAAAAAGGGGAGAAGTTAGTCGTGTCGAGGGAATGCAACTAAATATAAGAAGAATAACTAAATGGGGAAGAAACAAAAGAATGTAGGCTCACCGTTGGGGGGTATGAAGGGTAATATTGTGGGGACAAGAGGGAAAATGAGGGGGGTAACTCGTACTNCAGAAAAAATGGTTAAAAAATGAACAAACTGTCGTTTTCACTACGGGATAATTTAGAGTTCATTAGAAGCTATTTTTTTACGTTTCAAAAAATTTTGAAAAAACCAATTTTTTTTCAAAACAAAATTTTTTCTGAATTTTTGTTTTTTTTCCCAAAACGACGCATTTACATACTTTTGACTAAAATGTAGAAATGAACTGAATCTCATTCATAAAAGTGGCAAAAAATCAGTTTTGACATTGGATAATTGAAAAATCATTAGCAGATAATTTGTTATAATTCCAAAAGTTTTCATCTTTATGCCGTTCGGAAAACAATAGCGTTGCGGCTTAATATGAGCTAATTTTATATGCACCTAAAAAATTTTCTGCTGTGACCGTTCAATATTTAATTAATATTATTTCCTAAAAGGGGGATTTAGGGCAATTAAATAATGAGGACAAATGAGGGATAAAAT